TGTCTAGCAATTGGTGTGGCAAGAAAAACAAGTGTCGTATGTTTTTCGGTTGGACCAGCTTAGTGAAGCATAAATTGTACGAGATTAGTTTATAAAACAAGCAAAATACAAAGTTTAAACAACAAACATGAAGCAGCCGAAACCATCTCCCTCCACCAGAGAATGCATCAATTCTTGATGGCATCTGGAAACACACTATACTAAGTCCTCTGCTCAATTGTAAACCATGTACTTTGGTGTTGCACTGAACTTCTGATACCCCTTTATGACCTTGTTAACAGCATCGAGGAAGTCCTTCTCTGTTGCCGTCTTCCTTCGGGCTCTTATGGCATACATCCCAGCTTCCGTGCAAACACTCCTAATATCAGCTCCTGTGAAAGAGATAACAATGTCACAAAACCAAAGTCCAGTAACACAATGTCAAGATACGAGGGATGTAGCAGGTCATATCACAAGCACGAGACCATGGGAGCACATCAAACATAACAACGAAGATGCAAATCACAGTATTCTCACCTTTGGTTACCGTAAGGTGAGGATGCAAATGATAACAACATCAGATCAAACTAAAAATAACAACACCAGGAGGACTAGGTAACAATGACATTTTGTTTATCAATGGTATAGAAAGCATCCTTACCGGTTGAATTTGGGCAGAGACGAGCCAACAGTTCAAACCGAATGTCCCTTTCACAATTCATTGTTCTTGTATGGATTTTGAAGATTTGTGTCCGACTCTCCAAGTCGGGAAGGCCGAACTCAACCTTCCTATCCAACCGTCCTGGCCGCAGTAGGGCTGGGTCCAGCGTATCAGGCCTGAAAAAAGATCCAATAAAACCCCATAGTATAATAAACAGGCAGATGTTAATTAAAAATTAGAAAGAAACCAAATATAAATCGTGTAAAACTGCAAAACAAATACACAAACCAACCTGTTTGTTGCCATCAAGACTTTAATATTTCCACGAGCATCAAAGCCATCCAACTGATTCACAATTTCCAGCATAGTCCTCTGAACTTCATTATCTCCGCCCACACCATCATCAAACCGAGCTCCTCCAATCGCATCCACTTCATCGAAAAACACAATACAGGCCTTCTTTGAGCGCGCCATCTAAAAACAAAAAAAAATTACAACATAGTTAGAGAATAGAGCAACAGAAAAATAGTACTCAAAATATTTCAATATGCTAAAACATGCAACTATTTCTAACCTGGAAAAGTTCTCTGACCATCCGAGCTCCCTCACCAACGTATTTTTGAACAAGCTCACTCCCAATCACACGAATGAAGCAAGCATCAGTTCTATTCGCGACAGCCCTAGCCAGAAGAGTTTTACCAGTTCCTGGAGGCCCATAACAGAGAACACCCTTAGGTGGATCGATCCCGAGCTTCACAAATTTCTCAGGGTGAAGCATAGGCAGCTCAACAACCTAAGATAGATCAAGTATATATGCACACTGTCAAGTTTATATCCTAAACTAAAAACAGTAGATATTAATACATGTTAAACACAAGGAAACAAACTAACAATGCAAATAAAATGGTCAAAACTATACGCACTTCTCTCATCTTTTCAATCTGCTCCTTACATCCACCAACATCATTATATGTCACATCTGGCTTCTCTTCCACGGTCATCATGGTCACACTGGGATCAATTTTTGGAGGCAAAGGAATCTGAATTTGATACTTGTTCCTATCAACCCTGCAGTGGCAAACTAAAGGTTAACCAGAAAGACGCTACGAATTTAAACAAAACCCCAACTATAATCACTATAAATTTGCTAAAGATGTGAGCACATGATAAAACACAGCACTAATTGCAATCCCAAGAGAACAAACATTTTCATCACTAAAAACACAAATATGGAATGCTATAGCAAAACATAATATAGCATGGTGATGAGCAAGGACATGAGAAGTATGCAATGAAGGCCCAAAACTGCATTGCTGTATTAAATTACTATCCCTATTTCTTAAAAATTTCACTATTGCAGAAAATTCTTTTAAGATGTTTGTTGGTGAGTGGCTTACCAACTATTATCAAGCATAACATTATGTGCTGCATCCTAAACGAGCGATGCTCATGGATAATCAAATAAGATTTAAACAAGATGGAAAACAATCAGAGTTCACAAATAGGAGGACCTACCCCACACGCATGCCTTCTTCTATATCCGTTGGGGAAACCTTGTCACCCAGACCCACAACAAACTGAAAACAAATTACACAGCATTAAGAATGTAACAAGAAAATCAACAGATAAAAGATTGAAAAATAGAGCAAAAGTAAAAAAGAAATAAATAGCTGTATGGAAAAAATTGATGAAAAAAGAGGTTAGACCTTGGCAATTTGTTTGACATTAATGACGTATTTAGCATCCTCGGAATTGGGATTGATAATCTTTGTACATCTAGCCACCTGGTTTCAACAAATTAATCAATGCCTCCGTATCACATTATAACACAAATCAGTGAGTGTATGGTTGCGTGTGTAACCAAACCGAAACGAACCTGAAGAGGCTGTTCCTCCTGCATCATCTGCTTGTCGGAAACAAGATCATACTGGCTGGGTGCAGCCAACCCAGTGTCGGACTCCTTGATACCTGTAAAAGCAATCAAATTTAACTCGGCCCATCCACAAAGCTAACCACCCACAACTAGAACTTTCAAAATTCGGGGCACAAATCGAGCAAACAAGCTACATACCGCGCAAATCATTGACCCTTTTAGCCAAATCCTTTACTTCTTTCTCTGCTTGCTTAATGTGCTTCGAGTACGGCCCTAATCCCTGCATATCCCATTAAATCACCACAATCAATTAGCGCTAATCAACGAAATTACTCTACGGGAAATTTCAGGATTATTAATTAGGGTTTTCGCTGAATCTGAAATCGGTGGGATTGGGGTTTGTGGAAAAAGAATTGAGTTGAAGAACTTACATAGGTCTTCATGATGACGATGTCGTCCTCGTCGAGGGGTCTAGGGTTCTTCTCATCCTTGATGTCTTCTGGTTCTGGCGCCATCGGAGAGTTTAGAGAGAGAAACTAGAGTGAGAAAGAGTAGAAGTTTGGAGATTGGGACTGTGCTCTGGTAAATGTTTCGTATTTCAATCGACCTTTTCTTTTTGTTCAAGCTAGCTATATGCCCAAATACGATACTCTGGGTTTTGGTCACGTGATCTGCGCGTGCAAGGATTGGTGAAAGTTCAAATGTTACTCTTACCATGTAATTATACCTTATTTTTAGGGGTATGATATCTACATATCTCTTTTTACTTATTTCACACTTTTTTGGTTTTTGACCGTCGGATCGAATGAATTGAAGAAGATCAACGGACAGAAATTAACAAGGGGTGTGTGGATAACACACCCTTATTTTTATACCATCTCAAGTGACATCTAATGCGAACAGTTATATTATTTAAATTAATCAAAATTTTATTTAATTAAAAACAATTTAAAAAACCTTGTGTAAGAATAGCATTGTTCTTGAATGTTTATGTATGTGGGCTGCGCTTGGCTTGAGTAGGACTGGAATTTTTTGTCAAGTTACCTTCGCAACTAAATTGTCAATCGTACGATATCAATTTTGTGTCAATTGATAATGGCACGGTATTGTACAGAATCACAATTTTAGGCACAATATTGGTATTTGATACCATTGCCAATGATATTATCGTACCGTACAATTTTTCTCATTTAGTTTTTCATATTTGCCCCTTGATTCAATCTCACGTTTGTGGTATGTAACTTATTTTGACAAAAGTTCTAATGGAGTTAACGAAAATGATCATAGTTGTACGTTTTGACGAGTTACGGAACTAATAGTCATGGATTTTTAGTTGAATAACTATTACTTCAATTGAATTAAAGTTGGGAGACTATCACTACAATTTCCTCTCTATTTTTATACAATTAAATCCTAGCAGTAAATTTGTAATTCGAGTGGTTAAAATTGTTTACCTCTACAATTGAGACTTTGTGTTCGAATCCTCCTCTCCCAATATCGTTGAGGGACACAGAATCTTCCCGCTTTGTATATCTTCAGGTTTGACGACATTGAAAACTCTAAATTTTCATGCTACTTAATCGAATTTCTTCCTGCTCAATCTAATGGCCACCTTGTCACATCAAACATAAGCATAAATTGGTCAAGTGTTCAACACAAGCAAGGAGCAAGGTTCTAAAAAATGCTAGACGCTAGTCGGGCGGCAGGCTGGCACCTAGCACCTAGGCGGGGTCTAGGCGGGCATCTAGGCAGCCTAGGCGGATTTAGGTAAATTTCTTGTATATCTTGTAAATAAGTGCATATTGACACTTACAAAAATTAAACTTGTATGAAATCCATGGATAAGATAATAAAAGAAGAACAAAATGCAAAAAGAGTATCCAACAAGTCCAAAATTTAAAAACACATTAAGCATATATGTCATAGTACCATAGTGAGGAGTATTGTAGGATGACACATGTACAATAAGTTCACAATTTAAAACCACATGAAATGCAAAATAGGAGGAAAATAAGGAAATATAGTAATGTAGATAGGATTTTTTTTTTAATTTCAAAAAAAAAAAAAAAAAAAAACCTCCTAGCCACCTAGCCCGCCTAGAGCCCAACTGATTTATAAGAAAACGCCTCGAGTTACCACCGCCCAGCGCCTAGGCGCCACCTAGGCCCTTTTTTAGAACATTGGCAAGGAGCGCCTTTTTGGTTTTTGTTACAAATTTTTTTTTTTTTTTTGTAAAAGCAATACTGACGAAAATAAGAAAAGTAACTCAAAACATTGAGTCGCATAAAAAATACTCTTAACAAATTGAACTTCGTCCTCCATGTTTTTGTTATAAACTTTTAACTTTAATCAAAACTTAAATTACAAATGTTGATTAGGACAGTTGACCAATAAAGTGTGTCAAACTCCTGCACCAAGTTCGAATCCCCATTCTTGAGTGAAGAGTGTTGAAACTCTCACAATAAGAAAACAAAAGGCAAAAACAAGAAGTCTTAATTTACTTATTTTTTAGATATAAATAATAATATTTAATAAGTAAACAAAAGGATGAATTGGAAAGGCAAAACTTGATATGCGGGTGCATTTGGGATTGGGAGTCCTCTTATTTCAGCTGGACCACGGATGCTGTCCATCCTCATAGTTCAAAATTTCCTTGGACCTTTAGGCCAAATGTTCAACAAAGGAAGAAAAAGAAGAAGCTTCTTTCCCCAATAGAAAACAAATGCAACGATGTAACTACATCGAGTCCCGGTACTTTAGAACGTCATTTGTGTTCAAATCATAGATTTTGCAGATATCCAATATAGCACATTCTTTGAGACCCTCGCGCTCGCCTCCATGGCAAAGAAGCTCCTCAAGCTCTGTCGATGGCTGCAAAACCTATTTACATTGAGCAACCAAACAAGAAATTAGTAAAATAACAGAAAACTGAATGCTGGTATATTTGACAGAGATCAATGTGTGTGAAATTAGATATTATATGCATTTGCAAAGAGGTGTGTTTGTGTATGTACAAGCAAAGCTTGCATCTGCCTCCAGGAGGGCCTGAACATGCGTATCTCACGTTTGACATACCACGTGTCGATCAGATCTCATACGGAGAGGGTAACCAAAACTTACAAGTAATTGATGGACAGCATGATAGCTCAATTTGTGATTAAATGACCAGTAGAACTCACTAGACTCGTACAACTAATAAAAAACCGGAAGATAGGTCAACTTGTCATCCACAACAAACCCTAAAAGTCTCAATTGTGCAAATGTGATAAAGGCTCTTGGAAATTAGGTTTATCTAACACAAACTGCGTAGTTAAAGGGATGCAATAAAAAACCTAGAAAACTACAATAATTTAGACCAGTACAGGGTTCTTTTAGGACTGCTGTCACAGACCGTTGAAAATCAATCGCGTTGTCTGTAATTGCAGGAAATCATAAAATAACTTACATAAGGAGAATTGAATCTCTCTTTGCTTCCATGCTGAGAGTCAATATGCTCATTTTTATTTCCATCGGTAGTGGAACTTGGTGCCACAGAGCTATCTGAGACTAGCTTAAGGAGCCTCTCGCTTCCCTAGAACATCAACATAAACAAAACAACAAAGAATATATAGCATATTGAAATATAGCAATATATAATGGAACAATCAGGACGGAAGGGGTAGATACAAATTTCTTCAACTGAGTGCTAACTCATTTGCTAATTTATTTTACAAAAGAAATCAGACTACAAATAATTTCATGAAAACACTGTATGCAACGGACCTTGAGAGCTCGCCAATGAGAATAAGTACGGAATAAACACCAGAAGAAGGGAATATTAGGCAAAGGCAAAACCTGCATAGAAAATATCAAGAATGTGGATTTTGTTGATCTGGCAAAAGGAAATGTAAATTGAGAAGTGCAAAAGAATTAAAGGATCAACAGATTGAGTAAAATCAGAGTTGAAAACTCAAGTTAACACATACGTACAGCACATGCTGATGTCAGAGGAAGCAACGTAACCGAACCATATAAATACTTTCTGTGTATGATAGATCCCCTGATAATCAGATAAACTTCATATCAGTAAAGTTTGATCTCATCATAGATTAGTATAATACATCCAATGAAGATTAATGCCATCTTCAGTATCCCTTCAAGAAACAAGCACCAAATGTACCACAACGTAGGAGCTTTAGGCAAACTAGTTCCCTAAGGTTAAATATTCAACGCCAAATTTCATATCACTCACTCAATGTTACATCATGCAAAGAAACACAAATTTCTGTTTCTTCAAAATCTAGGGTTTAGTCATAAGAACTTTTTAAATAAAACAATAAACATTGAATGAAAGCTGCTACTTGATTTCTGTTGGGTCAAGGAACGACTCAATGCATCAGTTTGATTTCATATAGATTCAGTGTTTCGGTTCTTGGTAAATATGAAGGACAGGAGAGAAAATAATTGATACCGTCAAGAATTGTGACAACATTTAGATTCAAACTCTAATTATCAACTTTGAAAGCAAGAGAATACCTCATGGCAATATATCGTAACCTCCTACGCACAAGTCGTGCGTTTAAGCTGCAAAACCCTAACATATGATCAGCACACCAGAACTTAAAACGTGAAAGGATATCACACAAAGAAAAAGTATAAATAAAACTAGAAAATCGACTGTTTATTCTTTTCACATTTCAACCTAGCACGATGACATACTTCGACTGAAAATTACTAAGTGTGCATTGTCAAGAGTTGTGATGGGAATAGGTTCTAAGTTGAAATGCTTAGTTTTTATTCCCATGAGCCTATCTAATAGAAAAAAGCACCACATAACTTCTTTTAAGTCCTCTCTATCAACTTTAATTGAAACAAAATTTCAGATCATCATGGGCTGTTGCATTTGCCGTTAAAACTAAATGTGTTATCTTTACAAATAGCAACGAATGAATAAACTGAGCTATTCTATATGTTTGACTGTTGGTTTTGTTTTCCATAGAAATCTAACAGAAAGTGGAGGAAGAAGTTAAAAACGACAGCCATTTTAAAAAGCAGGTTTGCAAGTGAGAGAAACAGAAATAAACCTGGAAGGGTATTTAACTTCAACACCTGTGACCTCATTAGAGATCGATTTTAGGAAAATCTCAGACGGCTTAACACGAGACAACAGCTTCAATCCCAATCTACACCATTAAAAGCTTTCTCAAGTTAAAAATACAGAAACAACCTTGAGTGGTGATATGAAATGAAATCACCAAAATATTTTGAGTGAGTTTGTAGTTTCATTTACCCATGAATCTTGTTCTTAAAACTTCCTCGAGGCGACTTCTCCAGACCGATCCAAGCTATGTTCATCTACTCACCGAAACACAAAACCATTATTTCCAAACAGATATAAGACAACCCAATTCAAAAATAAAGCAGCAAGATTTACAATAGGAAAATGGGTTTTGCTATGGACCTTGGTAGAGACAAAATCGACAAGGAGCTCAGCGTTGACAGCTAAAGGATTGGCAATGGCCTTGTCATTGGCATTGGAATTGTACTTCTTCCAGAGGTCTTTGAGAGTTGAAGGAGTCTGAGAGGGAGGGGAAGATGCAGAGTCTGAAACCAGAGGCTCAACGGATCTGCTGAAGCACCAGTTCCTCCCTCTAACCGGAAAAACTATCACTCTCGCTCTCATCCTTCCCAATTCCCACAAAGAATATGAACCCTAATTCTTGTACAGATATTGTTTTCGTGATCATTCAGCACATTAAAATTACCAAAAAGAGTTTTTTTTTTTTTTTTTTTAAATAACAAAAAATTGAATCTTTGATTTGGGTTTTTTTTTTTTGATTCAAATAAATCAATGGAATTGGTATATTCCAAGAAGGAGACGAAGAATCATTGAATCTTCATTTTCGACAGGGATTAAATGGTACTAATATTAAAATTAATTCAAAATTTTGTTTTAATCACAGACCAAATCAACGAAGTACAGGAACAGAAACACAAATATTTCAAATCAAATCGACAAATTAAACAATAAATCATACGATGATGCAATTCTGCAATGTAAGAGTTATAGGATTGAAAGTTTTGAGAAAAAAGAAAAGAAAGGAAAACCTAAATACAACCAACCAGCTGGGAAGCGACGAGCACCAAATACTGAGTCACGAGTCACGGACAGTGGAAGGAAGCGTACGGATGGTACAGGGAGGCGGAGGAGGGAGAAGTGGCGCCATGGTTGCGTGCGTGTTGGTGAAAATTGTGAGTTTTGTGATTGTGATTTGTGAGTGGGAGGGGAATTAGAATGGAAGGTTTTACTTCCTTTTTTTCCACGTGGACTATGGAATTTAGTCATTTTGCTATTATTCGGCCTAGTGTGTCGCTCCTGGGTTGATCCGTATTTTTGCGACATGTCTGCTTTATATAGAATATCGAGAATCGGACATAAAATGTTTACTTTATATAGAATTTTGAGAATCTGACTGTTTACTTACGAGAAAAGATATTTCGTTAAATTTATTCACTTTTTTCACATTCATGTTCACATGTGAGAAAGTAGGAAAATGTATGCGATCGTATCTTAAAATCCTTAATTAAATGAAAGTAATTGATCCAATTCTTCAATTCATTTTACTTTTCTGTTCATAGTAAGTAAGCACGCTATGAGATCACATGTATGTAATCGAAAAATATGTGTTTTTTTTAAACTACTTCGGATGTGCTTTATGAATAATTAATTGTTAAATAAAATTGTTAAACGTTTGATAAACTGGATTTTTAAAAGAGTTGTGAGTATGAAAAAAATGTAGGCGTTTGATAGATTTTAATATAAAAGTGATATAATTGTATATAATGACAAAAATAGACATGATGGTGTAGGCGAGGACGACGATAATTGGGTTTAGGGAAATGGTTGTGATGGTGGTGGTGCCAATAACGAGGTGTGGTAGTTGGGCTGCAGAGGTAACAATGGTGGTAGGGGTGGCGACAACAGTGATGGTGGCGATTGTGGTTGTGGTGGTAGTGGTGACTATTGTGTTTGTAGTGTGGTGGTGACAGTGGCAATGGTGGCAACAGTGGCAGTTGTGGTTGTGGTGATAGTTATAGTGGTGGCGCAATTGTAGTGTGATGCTAGTAATGACAATGGTGGTGTAAGAGGTTATGTTTTGTAGTGGTAGGTGGTGGTGGTCACTTTGTTCTCCAATTTTTGGACAAATAATGCCATTTTTTAAATTAATGAGCGTAATACAAAAAAAATATTCATTAAAGACTCAACTTCGCTTTTTATTAAACCAACTTTTAAAAGCAACCTACAATCTATTTTAAAAAGTTGTTGTCTGGAGGCCATTGCTTTTAAAATAAATAGGATATTTTACTTTTACCAAACATTTTTTTATTGCTTAACTTTACCGTGAAACAATTTTGGTGAAAAAAAAAAAAAACCAACTGGGCCTTAATTCTCTATTCTTTAGTTCTCCAATTCGTTTTACTTTCTCATTCATGTAAGTGAGAATGCTACGAGATTAATCTAGTTTCCAATTACCTCACATTTACAACATATGTCGTATTAAATTTATGCAAGTCCCCAAAAATCCAAATAGTAATTGATTATGAGAGCTTATACCATCTTCAAATAAGATGTCAAAAATACCACATAAACATATAATAGTAACAAATAATGTACTATTTTACTTCAACTACACAACTTTTACTATTTTTGCTTGAAAAAAAAACATAAATAAAACAATGAATTTTAGCATATCGAAAGATACTAGCAATATATTAAATTACCAAGTTAACTATCAAATCAAAATTTGATGTTTTGAATGTAACGATTCTTTTGGAGATGCCTTTATTGTACCCGCATTCTTTCACTTCCTCAATTTATAACTTTTCTCTCGTCCCAATAATTAAACATGTCGTATTTGTCTTTGCTTACTAATTACCACCTCACTCAACTATCCCTGCTTTTTATTTTATTTTCCAATTTGCAACTGTTTCGGATTCCAAATCCAATTCCAAAAATTCCAAATTCCAAATTCTAATTCGAGTGTTTTAATGCCGTTTCATCTCAAATTGGCACTTTTTTTTGGTTTTGGTCAGGCATCCATGATTTTGATACCAACTGATGCTATGTCATAATTAATCACATCTATTTGGTGTCACAAGTTTCTTTTAAACAAAGTTAATGCTTGGTAACAACGAAAATTCGACAAATTGGTCAGTGTAGTGTGCATGGTATGCTTCGGAGATAAATCAACAGTGGCATATAAATAAAAATGGGTGTGTTTAATACCCCCAACAGTTTCAAGAATTTTTCGACTAGGAATCAATGTACGTTTAGATCTAAATGTTTTTAGATGAAACAATAATATATGATGATGTGAAATTTTCGCAGTTTCAATACTTCATTTGCAAACAACACGTGCATAAAAAAAGATACGAAGTACTTAAAACTAACAAAAGACTGGGAGCAAAACCGTTCGCAATGACAATCTAGAATTCATAAAGCCGACCCCACTTAGTGGGATAAAGCTTGGTTGTTCTTGTTGTTGTAGATGCCGCTATCATACACTAATATACATTTCAATTAATTTCAGGTTAAACCTACCACAAACAGGAAAGCATACGACGTAGGCAGGTTAAACCACAAAGAATATCAACAATCACCAAACAATGAATATACTATTTTTTTCATTCATTCTCTGCTATGAAGTTCGGATCTTCACCTTGGCAGAGGTATTCATCACACAACGACGCTGATCCCCAATCCTTCCGGAGCCTCAAGATATCCTCTGTGAAGGTGGATCCAGATGCTCCAATGAAGACACTTGACATTGCACATATGGTCTTATCCAGCATAGCTTCTACCTACAAAACATAATAAAGGCATATAAGTTACACGGATCTTAAGCAGTCACGATCATCTGTATAATAACAGACTGCATACTAATGCGACAATCGAATGTTAAAATGGTAGCATACTCTACCTGAGCATCGCCCTCGATTCCTTGTCTGTATAATAAAGCATCCCATTTTTCAGCTGAATTTCGTGCGGGACGTTTAACAAGTGGTACGGTCTTTCCATTCACCACAACTAGTGACTGCAACAAACCAGTTTCACTTTCAGCGGCGTCTGTCGAAAGGTACACGACTGGTGCATTGGCCCTTTCTGCCACCCGAATGATGCAATCCGCAGCTTGGGGAATGGGGTAAAAGCAACTTGGCTGTTTATTATTGCTGGAAATAAGCAAGGAATTTAGAGGCAGTAAACAAATACATCCCAACAAAAAATGCTAATGGCGTGCACCCCAATCGTTTAATGCCACAACTCACAAGACGCAAATCCGATAGGTAAAAAGCACACCGTAATCAGACCATATACTGACGCTTTGAAGTCATTGTAAATTAACAAGTGACAACCAAAGCCCGCACATCGATCTCCCTAAAATGATCAATTGTTTCATCGTGAAGTCCAGTTATAGCCACGGTTTTGCACTTTTTGATGCCTGGAGATCAGACATTTAAAGTAGGAAGCTCGTTTAGATTTAGCCATTCCAAAACAGTCTGGGAATGTTTATCCAATATCACAGCTACCTCTAAGTCTTAGTTTGGTACTGAGATGATTCTCAAAAAAGTGGCGATCAAAAAAAGTTGGGAGCTATTTTATGTTTGGTAAACATTCAACTTCAGCATTTTTTTCACAGTTTTGGGTGAAAAAAAAAGCCAAAAACACAAAGCTGTAAAACCCAGCCTTAAAAAACCAGCTTTTTTTTTACATCTGTTTTACATAAAAATTTATCAAACACTATAATAATGCTTTTTTTATTTTTTCAAAAGCACTTTTACAATGGTTTACCAAACACTCAGCTGTTTTATTTCACAGCTGATTATTCTCACAGCAAAAGCAGTTTTTTTTTAAAGCACAACGATACCAAACCAGTCTTAAGTAAACCAAAATGTTTGCTTATATATGAACTCTTAAGTCCTCGTTTGTTAAGAGGACTTGCTTGGGTAGGACTACTCACTATAAGGTATATTAAAGAAATAAATGAATGATAACTTCCCTATTTTGTCCAAGTTCAAGGTTACGAAAAGTTACCCCCTTTACAAAAAGTCACCATTTTTTTGGATTAATAGAGATAATTTTTATCCGTGAGTAACTTTCGAACCTTCACAAAATAAGGAAAATAAGGAAGAAGACATCCATTTCTTCCTTAAAACGCCTTCAATATAGTGAAAAGTCCACCCAAACCAATCCTCTCTATCAAACAAGGCCTAAGTTTCTAACTCTATCTACATTTTATGGTTGAAAAACAATCAAGTGAAAGAGAATGTACCAGAACTTCAAAAACCCATGTCGCCGAAAATGAAGAGCCACGAAGTTCTTCCCAAGGAATGTCTGAATGAAACGCTGGGCAGTAAGCATTATAAGCCTACTCGGTTCGATCAGAGTCTTGCATTTGTGAGCAAGAGGACCCCTAGGCTGCATCACCCACTCCTGCTCCAAATCAGCAAAGAAAACATCCCCAATTGCAATAACATCATCATTACTCGAAAATTTCGACTGAACATCTTGCACAGTCCTCTTGGTTGGCTTCTTCACGTCCTCAACCCAAGCCGACTCGAGCTTATTCATCGACACCCCAGCTCCCTTCAGCTTCTTAACATGCTCATCGTCGACATAGCAAGGGTTCGGATGCGAAAAATAGCAGATAAACTTATCAATGTGGACGTGATTCTTCTTCTTCTCATCCAATTCTTCAAATGTAACCACAACCGTTCTGCCCAAGCATTTGTTAATGTGCTCAATGTCCAGCACCCTACTGAACTGGTAATCCACTTTGGGGCTGGGAATCACCAGAACCCGGTTCAGCAATGCGGCGAAGAACATGTGTTTCTCCAAGCAGATCAAATGGTTTGACATTTGGCCCGAAACGCAAATGGCGAAAAGATACTTGTTGGAGTAGGGTTTCCATTCAATCGTTCTTCTCTGGGAGAATTGCTGGTCCACAGCTCGACAGCGATCGCCGAGACTCGGGTTTTCAAAATCTCCGAAATCCCGGAAATCGGGCTCCGTGGAGTTTCCGGTACGGTGGGGAGATAGGAGGACTTGCTGGATGTCTCTATTGAGTGAAATCTGACGGAGGACGGCGGATTTGAAATCGTCGAGGAGCGGGATTTGGGCTGGATCGGAGTGATTGGAAGTGGAATTAGTGGGATTGCGGAGTGTTTGGTTCCAGAGATTGAAAAGGCTTACCTGCTGCTGCTTGAGCAAGTAGAGGGCGCGGAGCTCGGATTCCAGGAGCTTACCGGAGGCGGAGTCGTAGGGGGAGGAGGAGAAGTTTCCGGTGGTGAAGAGGAGGGATTTCATGTCGGTAACGAAGAAGAGGATGACGACGAAGGTAGGGACGAAGATGGCGAGGAGGACGAAGGATCGCTTGTTGAAGAGGTCGCCGAGTTTGAGGGAGGTGAAATGGCGTCGTAATTGGTGGTGGAAGTAGTGGCCGTTGTTGCTGTTGTTGTCGATGTCGTCGTCGGCAATGCGGAATGCGGCGGCGACGGCATCGGATCGAGGGGTGTGAAGCTTTCTGTCGTTTTGCTCGATTAGGTTTTGGCGATCGTCGTCGTCGTCCGAGGACGAAGAAGATGTTCTCTCCATTTCGGTTGGTGCTTTTGGCTTTTCGGAGAAGTGGCAATATGGAATGTCTGTGGCCGTGCGACAGTTGGAGCGGCGGTTGGGAAAGGCGCTTTCTTCTCGGCTGTTTGCTTGTGTGTGTTCGCGTGAGACTATCGGACGAGAGAGTGAGAGAGAGAGAGAGAGATGGGGGGAGAGTGGTGGAGTGAATGAAACGCAGAGCAGAGGGGGAAGGCGGAATCCCAGTGGTGGAGGAATGTGGGACGGAGCTGTCAATGGAGGGTGTCGGTGGACGAAAGTGACAACGTAGCGGCCCACCGTGCAGGTTGAGGTTGGTTTGGTCTACAGCCCATTCAATCAGCTCTCTATTTCTGCTGTGAGTTTCGTTGGTAGTTTGGTAGGCGAGTGTTTATTTATTTGCCTATAGAAAATGGTAAAAAAGTTTGAGATTTTACTTTAAAATTAATTGGTAAGTACATTAAAGGTCCTTTTTTCCATTTTATTCTCAACACACATCTTCATCTATGACAACTTTTTCAGTCAAACATGTGAACAACATAAGCGAAGTGACATGGAGGTGGAGTATGTATGGTCTTTGAGCTTCACATGTGGACGGGTTATGTGGAGCACATGTGGGGCAACTTTGAGCTTCACATGTGGGTAAACTACTTTGATACACATGGGTTATGTGGAGCACATATCGTCTTTGGGCTTCACATGCAAGGTAACTTGCTTTAATATTACGAATAAAACCGAGATTTCACTATAAAACTAATCGCTAAGATAGAAAGTAACACAACTTACAAATTAATGCATTGTCACTTTTCAAATCAACGTGAAATTCATCATCAATAAAAACGCTATTTGATAATAGAAAATATATACTTTTATCTCGTTGAAGCGTGTGAAGAAACATATTTTTTGTGCTTTTTCAAAAACACTTTCAATTGTCTCTCAAAAAAATCACTTGAGTTTGAGTTCTAATAAAAGAGTGTTGGATGCAATTTCAACGAGGCCCACCTTATGTAACTTATCACAGAAGAAATTGAGGATGGCAGTTTGCTTGTTAATAATTGTTTGAAATGTACATCACAAATCACATCAATTGCTAATATGCTAGTGGGATCGGGAAGGTGTGATAAACAACGCGTTCAGAGTCAAATCATTTCTAGTGGGATCCAAGGAAATAGTAAGCTCCAGCATTTTCTACAAGTTTCAATAATTTAAAAGACTCTGACACGTCTCACTAAGAGGACATGTGGCGGCCCATATAAATGCCGTGTGTCAAATGCTTCATTTGTTCATCACTCGCTCATTTGTAGAAAAATAATGAAGCAGCAGCAGGGAAGACTAGTGTTCAAATGGTGGTCAAGAGCTGGAGGCATTACTGGCCCTAGTGCACCAGGTTGCCCAAACAAGGCGGAGCTGCCGCGTTTTATGACGGTCAAAGCGCCCAACCGCGCCGCCGTTCATGGACATAGGTTGCCTATCCCTCGCGTCATTGATGTACGCTATGCTCCGTTTTCATGTTCTTTGTCTAACGAGAATTCATTCTTTAATGCATATATTTTCTTTTACGATTTGATATTTCATTTTAAAATTAATTGACAAATTATATTATTTTTTAATATATCGTGTTATGCTATGTTTCTTTAATAATGAGTTGACGTCCTGCACATAATTTCTATTTTATTTATTTATTTATCAGTTTTCTTGATATCCAAGTGAAAATGGAATAATAGGAAAATTACTATATAAGTCATTATAGGTTAACTTTTAGTGTGGACAAGTTTTCACATCCTCACACGTATTATTGTGTTTTAAAATTAAAATGTTAATCGTGAACAAATTGAGTGACGTGAAGTTCGTAATTGGACTTTATATATAGGTTAACCTACTCTCAAAGAAAGTTTAGAAAGTTTGAGGTTTTATCTTAAAATCAATTAGAACAAATTGACTGACGTAAAGTCCATGGTTAGACTGCACATCTAGGTTACCCTACTCTCCAAAAAAGTTTAGAAAGTTCGAGGTTTTATCTCAAAATCAATTAGAACAAATATAGGCTTCCCATATAGGTTAACCTACTATTAAAGAAAGTTTAGAAAGTTTGAAGTTTAATCTCGCAATCAATTAGCAAATGTGACGGTGCATAGCTCAACTCCTTATAATCTCTTTTAAGATCCTTTGACTTCCAATCTTTAACAATCCTTCATAGCCTCACATGTCTGTCTTACATATATATTATAGCACGAGACATGTCATGAAAGTTTTAATGAGCATATAACAGCATATTTATGGCACCTCTATCATAGCAGAGATGCTTTAAATATTCTGAGAATCCACAACCCTTGCGATGTTTCATGTCCGATGGGGAGTCTTTGTTTGTGGTTTGTAGGAGGAACAAGTACAGAAGGTGATAGAGAAGGGGAAAGAGGAGAAAGAAGAAAAGAGGCGGGAGGTGGAGAAGGCCGTCGACTCCAAACTCAACGGCAGCCGCTGCGAAGGCGACGCCTGACCTCCTGAGACTAGTGCTTCTAGTTCTAGTTAGTTAATCTACCATCAGCCTCATAAACCGTTGGTGTTTCATGTTGTATGTTACTTATATATGCTTTTATTTGTCTGTGTGGACAACTTATTATCCAACATAATGCGCCAAAGATGATTCTGTTGGATACGTACGATGAGGAATTGGATAGGATTAGGAGGAGGTAAGATTAATCTTACTCTTTCAATAATTATTAAATAATATTGATATTTTTATACTAAAGAAAGGGGGAATTCAAGTCACACAATAGATAGCCTAATTTGGTATCGAATTCGCTATTCACGAGATTCGAACCTAAGCTAAGACCCCTCACTTCCAAGTGAAGAGGAATACCACTAGATCGTAGTATTGGATGACAATAATTGAATTATATACTTCAAAAAGGGAAAAAGTAACTGTCATGACAATTCTGCATGGATGGGAACTTATCCAGCCTTCTACCATGAGGAAACGGATGGAGTTGCTTAAAATTAAAACGAGGAGTAGTTTATCAAATTTTCACCATGCGGTAAAAACAAAAGGCTGCGCAAGGCAGTAAAAAACACACCATATTACAGACTAAAAATGTGTAAAATTCGTAACCTAGTTTCAGTATATAAAATAAGATTACAGAAGCAATTCCTTGTTGGTACTGACAGAATTGAGAGAGCAGCCCCCTGAAACTCTAATACTTGTTTCAGCATCATATATAACAATCATCGTCAATGAATAAGTACTAGCTCTACGCGAGGACAGCGGTAGCCAAATTTAACGACTCTGACCGATGAACACCAACTGCTGCTTGGTAGAAGCCGATGTGACCAAATTCAGCACAAAACTTGAGAATCTTGAGGAACAACAGTTGCACTACAGTTTGTTGTGATTCCTCTCTTAGCACTAAGCTTCTTCTCCTACTTCAACAAGCCTCCCGCGAATCCACTTTTTAGTAGCGGCGGACGCTGGTTTACAAGGCGTTTCCTCTTCTCTGGACTGAACTTTGGTCCCGTTGAGTTGAAGGTTCTTGCTGCATTCACTGTCCCCATTTGGTTGCAATTCGTTGGGTTCATTGCTCCGATCCAATTGCTTTATTAGGTCCTCAAAACCAAACGGAGGCAAACCATATCCACTGGTGCTCGGTGGGGGAAGGTCCTCTTCACTATTTAGCATATCCTCCAATGGGGCAGGGTCCTCGAGAGCGTTCAGCATATCCTGCAATGGGGAAAGGTCCTCCTCAGCATCTAGCATATCCTCCGATGTGAAGTTGCCAAAGCTGGAGTCCTCGTTTGTACTCGATAAGGTTTTCGTGCCATTTATCTTTACATTACCTGCTTCAGTACGACCTGCAACCGCAGTGCATGGTTCCTCCTCACCCTCACTAATCACTTCGTATGATGCAAATATAGGTTCTTCATTCCCATGGGAGGACAAAGTTTGGGTGCCATTTACACTTCCATTATCTGCTTCAGCCCCAACCCCAGTATATGTCTCCTTTTCATCCCGACTAATCGCTTCATTTGACGCAACTGAAGGGTCTTCATTCTCGGAGGAAGAAATCTGTGCCGTCCCTATAGATTCAATAAACTGAATTGCCTCAGCTATAAGCTGTCGGGTTTCAATGAGGGAAGCTCGAGCAACAGGGCTCTTTGTTGCAGCAACCTCAAGGGCCATGGCTGCTTTCTCAGCTTCTGCAATCAATAACCTGTAAAATACCACGACAACTGATGAAACGGAAACCAAAGAAGGAGAGATGATTTTCAGGCTAGTGATTCCCTGTTAGGAGTTCATAGAGTTTTCCAACCAATCAATATACACAACGAACTTACCTAGCTCTTTCTACCGCTTCCCTTTTTTGGGTTTCAGCAGCTGCTCTTTGTGCTCTGATGTTCTTTATCATCTCCATCTTAGAACTCGCGAGAGGATCCTTGTACATGGGTGCTTTACTTCTCAACCTCAGTCGTTGCTTTTGGATTTTAATCTCGCTACTAGAGAAATTGGTTTTCTCACTAACTTTTTTCTTTGCAGGGATCCTTCTTGTGGACTCTGAACTACTACTTGGCTTCTTCTTTGGCTTTCTATCAGGTCCATACGATGTGTCGTAATATTTAGCCAAGGCAGAACACACACGGTCGCGATAATTCTGATACATGAATTATATAAGCAAAATACAATCTTAAAGAAAACAAGGCTCAGGTTCCTGCTACTATTACCAAACATGTAATAACAAAGATTACCATATTTGCACTTACAGGATCGTTCCATTTTGCAGAGATTGCTTGTGAAATCTTCCTTCTTTGCTCAAGAGACTTGGGTGCTCTCTTGCTTCCTTTTGGCCTACGCATAATTTTCCTTTGCTCAACACTCTCTAAATACTCCTCTGTAAGCTTTTCATCTAAGATCTTGTAGGAATCCCACTGCAGTTCCTCTTCACCATCGTGTCCTTGTCTAGAGGCTTCAGCAATTAAGTTCTGCCAGTCAAAGCAGCAATTTTCCTGCAATGATAGCTTCTCACGCCGCCTTTGCCACCCGATTCGCACTCCAAGCCCAATTTTAACTCTTGTCTCTTCACTATATGATCAATAAAAGCAAAGATAAATGAAATAGATATGAGGGAAAACTAAATTGAAACCTGTAATCTCAGACTTTTCGATACAAACTGCAAAGAAATTAGATGGCAAAGATGGTAGTGGTAAAACAGCACTCAAGTCCTTATAAACAGAAGAAAGAAATACCCACCTTTGAGCATGTCCAAGGTTCACCAACTTCATTTTGACCTGTACAGCCAAATATTGTTAGTAGAGCAAACAAATTTGTCGTTTTTCAATTGAGATGATGTTTATTATCTACAGAACCCGTTACCTCCATCTCATAAAAACACATAACCTGTTGCATCCTTGTAAACCATACAATTTTGGCAATACACTATCTTTCGATTGGCTACAAATTTAGTAGTATGTGCTTTAAATTAGGTTAGCGGTCAAGCATTAGCAAAGTGATCCTTCAATCAACAAGACATTTAGTTTCTTCATAGGACAAAGACCAGCTAACCTGCCCATTTGAAAGTAGAAGAGCTGCAAGATAGTTATCTACTCGGGGGAGATTACCATTATCCATGAAATAATAGGATTAGCAGTAAATCGAGCAGAATTAGGAAGAAGCTCAAGAGATGGGTCTTAGAATAAGATGGTTTGACAAGTCAATGACCTGTATATACAAATAGCTAATGTTCCCTTGGAACCAACGAGACTACGAAAGCTTTTTGCCTACGATAAACCTCATTGTTATAAGTATCATGCACTGACTGAATGGTACAAAGAGACGCAACCTCCATACATAGACAGTACCAAGCAGATCATTTAAGTTTATGTGTGAAAAGTTTTATTAGAGAGCGAAGGTTCGAATGTAGGCATTAAGATCATTCTATGAGAACATGCAAATTCTTCTTACATGACATCACCTTAGGATTCTGCATTGCAAGCCTTGTTCTCTCTCTGATCAGCTGAAGAGTTTCTGAAATATTGTACTAATAATTAGCGCATGATAAGCAAAATGGATGCAGATAGGTAACGCAAAAGGCAGATTGGATAATCATATCACTACCAGGACTGTGCTTTCTGCCTTTGTTCCATGGCGTGTTCCCTTTATTAGCATTAGAAATCCTCAATCGCCTTAACTTCTCCCTTTCATCCAATTCTTCGGAATCTTCACTTGAAGGCTCGGGCTGACCTGTCCAGGTGCTCGAATCCATGGCCAGCTGTGAACCTGTCGAAACCCATGTGTGCATTCTCATTCTGAACCAAATTTTTGGATTCAAGAGTAGCAACTGCCTTAATCCGGAGACTTCCCCTTGGGATGTTAATGTGCCCCAAATTGAAGTTCAATTTTATAGATATACGAGAGAATTTCGAAGCAGAGGACAGTTTCTTGTCATTTCCGAAGGCGAATGGACTTGAAATTACTTTACCATGAAGAGGGGTTTGAGACCTGAGTGTACTGAGATGAATTTGGAAGGCAGGCTGTGCAGCAGCAATCTCTGCAAACAAGGACAGGCATTATAAGAGATACTCTCAAGACCACAACAATATCAGCAAGTAGCATTTGCATAAACATCAGTCCTTTAACAATTCAACATTTTTTATATACACACATAAAATGTTTCTAGCCAGTAGCCAAACAATCTAAATTCTTTAACAAAGGCCTCATTTGGTATTTAGGACTGGATTGGAGATCTCAGTGGATTCAATATATGTTGAAGGAAGAAAAGGATGACAGCTTTCGGATTTTGTCCAGGTTGAAGGTAGAAGATGGACTAGTCATGAAAGAAACTTATCCCTGCCAATCCGACCATTCATGTGGGAATTGGAAGGGATTAGTTTCCTTTGTTACTAATCCATCTTCTACCATTTCCAACAAAAAGAAAATGTCTTCTACGTTCAACTTGGACAAAATTTGGAAGTTGTCATCCATTTCTTCGTTCAACATACATTGAAACACGTGACTTATCCAATCCAATGCAATCATTGACACCGAAGGAGGCCAAAGAGTTGGGAATCCATCAAACTAACATCCACAAATATCAATAAGAGTATTTGCATAAAAATCAGTCATTTGACAATTGAACACCAGCACACGCAAAATGTCACCAGCCACATAATTGAAATTCCTTAAATACCCTTTACTGCGAAATTCATAAAAATAATATCAGCAAATTTAAGTGCAGCAGCCAGCAGGTGCCATGGAAAAGCTCTAAGTACCATGAATCAGTAAATTTAACCACAAACTGAAAAAGCTACAAACAGTTCACTGAATTCGACACAAAGGGTTTCTAAAACTGTAACCAAACACATTCAAAAGCACAAGATATATGCAGGAAGAGACTGGATTAGAGTACCAAGTGAAGGCATGGGAGCTCATTCAGCCAATTTCAGACTCAGCAGCAACTGTTGGGCACAGCCAGCATTTCACCCGAGCTTACCGAACCAGAAAAGCAGAAAGCAAAAGCCGAAAAGCAGAAGCAGAGAAGTGAGGAGGGTGGATTGAGAATATGGGTGGCGGGGAAGGAAGAAAACAGAGGGTCTTTGCCACTGCGAGAGCCACAGACGCATACACTGTCTGATAACGGTGGCAGCAAAGAACGGATAACGAATGAGTTTAAAAATGAATGCAGCCCATTTGATGATAGATATTTTGGAGAGATTTCACTCCAGTGGCCTTTATGTGCACACACTGCGTAGGCGCTGGGCTGCTTCTGTTCTGATATTTTTATGCGGGCTTGTAATTTGAGCCCATTGGTATGCAAAAGTGGCCTTTTATGTTCATTGACATTGTTATGGACACCCAAAACAAAAGGTACCCAATTTTCAATTTAGCCTTCTATTTTTTTTTGTTAGTACGACGCGAGGGTAAGTTTGGCTAAGCTATACAATGAACAACCTAATATGATATCGAATTCGCTATCTATGATATTTGAACCTAAGACCTTTCACTTACAACTTACAAGTGACGAGGAATATTATCAGAGCGTAGTACTAAGTGACAATTTAGCCTTCTAATTCTAAATACTAGCTTACGCCTATTTTTGTTCTTAAAATGGAATGAGGGAGGAAGAGAGTGAGAGAGAACATGGGAGTTGGGAGAGAGGGGAGAGAATTTTTTTTTTTTTATGTTTTTTATTTTTAATTAGAGATATGTTAGAATCACATGTAGGTGAGGCTTAAAAAAAATAAAATTTTGGTTGTGTGAATTACATTACTACCTATGTTTTTTATTTATGTACTTTGATAAGAGGGTTAGAATGGTAATTTTATAGATTTTAGCTAACAAGAGGGTTCTATTAATATGTAGTTTAGATACATGATGATCAATGCGTCGTTCATCATAGACTGAATTGCTAGAATAGTATCTCATATTTGGTTAGCATGGAATTAGGTTCTTCCCATTGTATAATTTGTATTTGTAATAATTGAATCATTGAGACTATTAATGTTTGTAACTGTAACATCACGTGACCTGTTAATGTTTGTGTTTTAAATTCATTCAACTTTATAACAGATGAAGACGCAATTATTTTAGAATATACTATTTAAATCAGTGAACACATGTTTAAATGGCAAATCAACACTAGAGCCAATGTATACAGTTGCACCTACCCTTTTTATTGTTGCACCAAAACACAAAGTTGCCCAATCTTCTTTTGATGTTCCCCTTAAAGGGATACGGCTGCCATGCGTGAAGAAATCCGATAAAGTCTTTCAAAGAGGCCGAGCCAAGGCCAACTAGGCAAATTGACGTGCCATCTTTTTGTATGCGAGAAGAAAAATTATTAGTCTACAACTGCATCTTATAAATTATTAACAGCTTATTGGCATGTCACATAGTATCTAGATAGGAGAAATGTTTACATACGATTTGGGAATCACATCAATCATATGGTCCAAATGCAAAAAAACACGTCTACCTCACTCCCCTGTTTTTCAAAAAACTCTTTGACGCTAGCTCGGTTTCTGGACAGAAGAACTCCTCCACAGATAAGTGGGGTAAAAACAAACTTAGAACAAAGCCTAATAAAATGCAATGCAAACATGAAGCATTGTAGTCAAATTTGTGTGTTTAGAGATGAATAAAAGGTTTTGAGATTAATTGATCTACTTCTAGGTATGCTATTTGACCTTGACTAGTCCAACTCCCATCAAAGATTCTTTGCAACTTGAATTTGTTCTAGTTTTAAGAATGTAAACCAATTAACATGTCTCATATTTGGGATGAGGATCCTCGGATACTTAGATCCTCACATCCTAACTATTTATTGTATATCGTATGATCAGTTTTTATTAGATATTATTTACGTTTAATTTTAAATAAAAATATTCAAAATAATTTATAACCTCACGATATACGATGAACAGCTAAAATGTGAGGAGTCTTAAGATCCTCACAATTTAAATCCAAATGGGATCCAAATCCCATATTTGTACGCAGATTCATTGCCCTCCCACTTCCCGTGCCCTCCTGTTTGTGTAGTCACAATTAAGCTACATCAACATTTTATATTACTATTCTTTTTTGTCTGATTATCTCTATAAAAAAAATAACATAAAATATTAACGAGGCTTACCCGTGACTACATAAAACAGAAGAGTATTTGTACATCATGAGGTAGAATACAAGTATGGTCAAGGCTTGGGGTTGGCCACCTTCACGAGTTTCCAAGGCAGCAGCCTATCCTTCCGGAATCTTCACGAGTTTCCTCTCCTTCCTGGTCAACTTCAACGTTCCTGAGCACAAATGCTATTCCAAAACCTCCTCTCTCAACCATCACGTTAAGGATTTGGAAAATAAAAAAATTAAAAAATAAAAAACTATCACGATAAGAAAAGCTTAACGATCATAGGTGATTTAGTACTATGATTTAGTGATAAAACTCTTTATTTGTAAGTGAGAGGTTTTAGGTTCAATTCTCGTCAAAGACGAATTTGAACTACATTATTACTGGCTCATTGTGAGGCTAAACTCACCTTTTTTTTTTTAGTATAGATATATCTTTTGTTTAAAAAAAAAAAAAAAAAAAAAAAAAAAGATCATAGATAGTGAAGAGATTTTTAAGCATATGAACTCTAAGATAATTATTTTTTGGGAATTGTTATTAGCACTCCAAAAATCTCATTTGGCACTCCAAACTTTCTATAATTAGAAAGAAAAACACACTTGTGAGAAGTGTAGAATGAGATTTTTAGAGTGCTAATAACAATTCCCTATTTTTTTAATTTTTTTACGCACTCGCGTACGAATAACAAGGAGCTGAAAAAGTGCGAATTAAATTCAATGACAGAGCCCACATGAGGGCATTGGCTGCAACTAACTCCAATTGTTACATCTCGGCTCGAGCGGGACCACTTCCTGGGCCCGCTCCACCACCATAGCACGATATTGTCCGCTTTAGGCCCCAACTATGCCCTCACGGTTTTGTTTCTGGGAACTCACACAAGAACTTCCCAATGAGTCACTCATCTTGGGAGTGCTCTCACGTGCTACTCGCATAACTTCGGAGTTCTAATGGAATCTAAAGCCAGTGAGCTCCCAAAATGCCTCATGCTAAGTAGGGATGAGAATATACATATAAGGATCACTCCCTGGGCGATGTGGGATCTTACAATCCACCCCCCTTAGGGGCCCGACATCCTCGTCGGCATACACGCGATCAGGGTTAGGCTCTGATACCAAATTGTCACATCTCGGCTTGGGGGAACCACTTCCTAGGCCCGCTCTACCACCGTAGCACGATATTGTCTGCTTTGGACCCCGACCACGCCCTCACGGTTTTGTTTTTGAGAACTCACACGAGAACTTTCGAGTGGGTCACCCATTATGGGAGTGCTCTCGCGCGCTGCTCGCTTAACTTCGGAGTTCCAACGGAACCCGAAACCAGTGAGCTCCCAAAAGACCTCGTGCTAGGTAGGGATGAAAATATACATATAAGGATCACTCCCCTAGACAATGTGGGATCTTACATCAATAACTTCCAATATCTCTTCTTTAAATTTTTATACGACCCATATAATAGCTAAGACAAACAAATCAAGGAGACCATTTATTAACATTTTTTTTAATTAAAACATACCAAAATTACAACTTTTCCAAAACAAAGAGAGCTTTTTAAGTGATCAAAATTGTAAAGAATTCACATTATATGAAAAATGAATGGAAATCAATGGTTTAATGATGGCTTGCTTATATACAATGAAAGACGTATTTGATTTTATTGATGATGATGTTGTGATACATCGTTCTAAAATATAAGAACATGTAGTTACCAATTATAAATAAAAGTATATTTAATTTTCGGAAGAATCTTATTCGTGATCCCAAAATGTAAATTTCTGATTACGTTACTGATTAAATTCATTAGCCAAGTTTAACCATCGCGTGCATGGTTGCTTCCATCTTTCAAACTATTCGTGAATAAATGGAAGATCTGGTCTTTGAGATTATGCAGATATTGTACTCACGTACGTAGGGGTTCATCTATTTTTTCACATTTCTTGCTGATGAAAAAGTTAAGTTTCCTAAGACATTAATGAATTAGTACACTCCAATTCACCCACTCCACTGTCAAATTTATTTACAACTTTTTCTCTAACATGTCATTTCAGTCAATAATGAGATCTGGTTGTTGCATGGGGGGAACAATGAAATCTGGTTTTATCACATTTCTATATATATATATATATATGTATGTATGTAGAACTTTAGGAACGTTGTCAAAAAAAAGATATATATAACTTTAGGAACAAAGAAGAAAAATATGTAGATTACACGGTAAAAGTTTTGTTGGCTCCGTTTCATAGTCCTTTTGTCTTTTGTTTCAATTTTCATTCATTGTACTAGTGTTGTAGTTTTCATTTTAAGAATCATTTTATATATACATTATTCAACGTCTCTCTAATTATATTGAAAATGAATCTCACATTAATCGGAAGAGAGATCTTATATGAGTTTATAAGTAAGTTGAGCTACTCTTATATTGCCAGTTGATTTTATTCTGAAACCTTAACTTCCTTCGTATTATACATCATTCCTCCACTCTTCCTCACTTTATCTCTCATTTCTCCCATATATTTTTCGTGGTTTTCAACATTTGGTACATGAAGTTTTTTTCGTCCCAGAGTCATACCTAAAATGTTAATTTTGAGACAAAGTCTCATGCATCCGTTAGTTTGGCTGTTAAGTCTCCTGTTAACTGATGATGTGGCGCCCATATGGATAATGACTGGATGTCACGTGTCATTAAGGGATCCACGTGGAAATTAAAAATTAAAAAAAAAAAAAATTGGTCATCTTCTACCTTTCTGCTGTCGATCTTCTGGATCCCAAAACTACAACCCTTGCCTCTTTGGCCTCTTCTCCGCTCGCCGCCTCTGAAATTCAAAGGGCTCTGATTTTGACTGCCTGCGCTTTCTCACAAACCACACCATAAACCCTAAAATAATCAACTAAAAGAAAACCCTAGAAGAAAAAAATTCACAACCGACTTCGCTCGATGTTCACCCTCTCGAACGAAAAACCAAAACCTAGATCGACAAAACCTAAAACCCAGAAAGAAAAATCAACCAAAATCATATTCCAAAATTCACGAGTGGCTTTGCTCGATCGTTACATGTTTTGAA